CCGGCATGATACAGTCGTTATTAAAAATGAGATAGGCCTAAATCAGCAACATGATGCGACTGCAAGTGTGTAAGTGTGCGACTTCGTCAGTTAATCTCAATGATACCTTGACGCGAAATAAAACGAACAATATTGCTCTGGAGTCTTGTCCATATTACTTAACGGACCGATTGCTTTGGGGTCTACTACGTACCTTTTAAGACTAAAAATGTGCCACCAACGCTTGTTGAATGTTCCCAACGATTTTCACATCGTTACAAGAGTTATAAAATTTTCTTCGCAAGGAAGTGTCAATAGTAATATAGTAGTGACGTAAATATACACTGTCACATGACAGTGGAAGTATTTGTGGGATATATGAAAGTAATCTTCGATTGAACGTTTAAAATGATGTTTAAGTTAGTTCATATCAGAGAGGGGTTTCAAACCAACAAACTGAAGCCTGAATTAGCTATATCTACCTCTTGTATGGTTAGGACGTGATATGATACAAGATGAAGATGCTACTATTCAGAGCTGCTATAAATATACCTGCGAAGTACGGACCAAGTGTTGTTGGGTAGTTGCTTTCAAGTACGGCAATCTTAATGTATAAAAGATGTACGACTTCAACTACCTAGACAAAATGATCTTGGGTGAAATTCTTGCATTTATGAAGAAATGTTGGAGGGTACCAGCTGTTGGTTTGTGTTTGCTGAGCCACGATCATACAGATGAGCGTATAAAGAGACAAGTTCGTTGATGCTTACCCCTTAACAGGAAGGATATTCAATACCTTTTCTTACTCTTATCTCTTCAATGCTGTTTGAGTACCTAAGGTAGTACTCTAATATAGGATATTTTATTATGGTAGCATGAATGCTCATTACCTTAAATAAAAGGTATGTTCCTGAGTCCCAAGTGAAGATAACTGTTAGTATTACCTAATCACTCTCCACCCTTGGCTGGAAAGTAACAAATACTAAAAGGAGGATTCTTCGAACCAACATGCCTTAGAGCATTAGTTAATCATAACCTGATAGCGGACCATTGACGCGCTGCGCGTTACTGAGATCTTGCGATCGTTGTTTTTTTACTGCCATGTGCCCTGAAGTTCGTTATAATGTTGAACCCTTGTTTTGGTTAACAGGGGTCGTTTCTGCCTTGAGACTATGCCAGTTGCTGCCTGTTATCATGTCGAAGAACGACCCGTGCACCACAGGTTTATAATGTCCGTCGAGCCTGGCGAGAATTAACTACCAGAAACTAAAGACACTTATTTCTGCACCAATGTCACAGGCTTCAGATAGTGCTGATTTTCGTGGTCGCCGCTCCGGCAAGCAGGGGGATAGTATTCCGCAGCTGAGCTGTGAGTTATGCCGGTATGATTGAATACTCCTCTAATTCGCGACTCAGAAATGTTAACTAATTACATCATAGGAAGCGAAAGGTAAAATGCGACAAGTTGAACCCATGTTCCAATTGCGTAAAGGCGGACGTTGTGTGTGTACCTATATATCGCAAGCGCTTACCTCGTGGTCGCCACACCCATCCTCGATCATTCCCGACCCTCAATACCGGTGATGAATTGATGTCTCGCATACGAAACCTAGAGACACTAGCTTCCAATATAAACGACTTGAAAGTCTCGTCATCGAATCCCGGGCCCGCAACCTCGGCTAGCGCCAACGTGGGTGTAGATGCGGAGAATAACGTTGGCTGGCAAGTCTGGGCGCAAATCGTGGACGAGGTAAGCTACTTATATCATGGTAAAATGCTTTGGCGGTAACTGATGTTATAAAGGTCGAAAGTCTTCGTGATATTGTTGGAGATGCTTCGGACGACGAGGATAGCGTGCGGTCGACCCCTAATTCCACTTTTAGTGCTAATTTGAGGGCAATTGGGATGGGCTCCTCCACTTATAGCGGCCTTCCAGGAACTGATGGTCGTTTAAAAGATCCCATCGTCATAGCTCAATTATGTGACATTTACCTCCACCAGGTTGACCCCATCATCAAAATTCTGCATCGGCCTTCTTTAAGCAAGTTCATGCAACACGGCCAGCGCTATTTGGGGTATGATACTAACCACTTATCTCCGTTGTGCCTAAGCTCGGCTATCTGCTACTCTGCTACGGCAAGCATGACGGAAGAACGATGTCAACAAGTCTTCCATATAAGGAAATCTACACTGATGGAAGAATGCAGAGCAGCTTGCGAAGCGGCTTTCGAAAGCTCGGAACTCCTTACAACGAATGATATCACTATCCTGCAAGCCTTCGTATTATACCTCATTGCTAGGCGGACGGAGGACTCGAGTCGTGCCGTATGGACTATGACCGCGTTAGCTGTTCGTATAGCAAAAGCTCTCTTTATCTACTCGGGAAGAAGAGAATCTTTCTTCATCCGGCAGATGAGACTGCGGTTGTGGTTCACGATATGTCTGTTAGATTTTCATGGGTCGGTCGACCAAGCTACTGAGCCTCTGATAGGTGTGGATGAAATACCGTCGGAGTTTCCCACCAATATCAATGATTCTGAATTTGACACCGACACTCCAGGAGAGCTCCAGAACAGAGATGGCCTGACTGACATGACATATGCTCTTGTCACATATTACGCACAGTCAAGTGCACGGCTCCTGAACTTTCACGGTAAAGAGACGGACAGGCTAAACTGGGAAGAACGGGAGAAACATGCGCTTCTTTTACAACAGCAAATCCAGGACCTTTTAAAATTCTGCGATCCTGAATCGAGCCCGTACGCGTGGTTCACTTTCCACGCGGCACAATCGCTGGCAGCATGCATGCGGCTTACAGCTCTGCGACCTTTGCACCGTGTTAATACCAACCAGCCTGCTCCTCGGGGAAAACTTACCGAAATCCTCAGCAACTCCCTGATAACTCTAGAAAAGGTACACCTGATTCAAACTAGCCCAAGAGGAGAGGGTTTCAGATGGTATATGACGATTCATTGGCACGCGCTTGCGAGCGCTATCGCTGAATGTTATGTCGGCTCTGATATCGCAACAATTCAACACGCTTGGCCAATTATTGAATGGGCTTTTGAGTACCATAGACAAGATATCGAGAGTTGTCGTCGAGGAATGCTCAAAAGGCCGTTAGAAAGGCTGATGATGCAGGCCAGGAAGAGGATCGGCGTCCTGTTGGGACATCCGCCTCCCCTCCAGCAGTCCCAACAGCCTCTGCTAAGCGCAGGCCAAGCGAGTTATCCCGAATATGAACCGTCAAATCCTACCGCGACCACCATGGACTCTAACTCAGCTGGATTTTCTCTAAACCAACTCGATTCTCAGCTTACTATGGATTACGACTTCAGCGGAACAGCAGAAATATTCCCGCCTTTTGACAATTCTACCATGGCGAGCCCATCGATGCTATCATGGCCTATGCCACATGACCCTCGCGCTCAAGGCCCGGGAGCTCTGAACGTCTCCGAGGTGGACAATGGCTCTTTCGAAGATGTATCCTGGAAAACATGGGAAGAGTTCGTCTCCGAGCTTTCTTTCAACGACTTTAACTAGGTAGTGTCCTACGTAGTGGAAAACTGAAATCAGGCCCATAAACGGATTTGTTTCTTGATATGTTACCCACTGTCTTTGCTAGATTTAACGCGAACCAACTCATATAGGACTAAAAAGCAGGGCTTTCGAATGAGACATACTACTTAAGTGCTTATCGCTCGTCGCGAAACAGACGAAGCAGATCTGGCTTTTCACGTCGGGCGTAATATCCACGGAACCCCCCGAGAAAATAAGAGTATTGCCACTAGATAGCCTGGCAAACAAGTAGAATGAAGGAATATCCATGTATGAGTATTGGTGCTTAGTCGGTGCCTAGATCAATGTCCTAGTCAGTCATCAGGTTACACCAGGCTCGAGAGACAGAAAATAATAATGGGAGATGACCTTTCGCTATTGTGCAGTATAGTTAGGGGGGCACTATTCTTCTAGGATTCATTAGCATTACTATATCCAGGTATTCCAGTACTGTCAATCTTCGATTCCGGCGCTGGCGAGCTTCGCCTCATGTCTAGGTAAGTATGCAACAGGCTCGTGAAGTCATAAATGCGTCGTACCGCTTCAGCTATATTGGTGTTTGATGTTCTGAAATATTTTGCTGTAATAAGCGTTGTGTGTGACTCACTTCAGATTCATTCCAATACGGACCGAAAAATCGTTCGCCTCAGGTATCTCACCAAATATGACCATTTATTTTTCCAGCTACGCATCGGTCTTAAGCATGCAGGTAAAATATCCAAGTAGGATATTGGATCATAATAGCGCATTGTACCTAGTACGCATTATAGATAGACGGGCTAAATCGTAGAGTCGAGTGTCGCGAAGATGCACACAAAATATAGATTCTATGCAACGGATACGATATTTTTGATTAAGGTGAAATAGTATTTATTGCCTAGGAGAATTTTCAAGAAAGAAGTTTTTTTTTTTTTTTTTTTTTTTTTTTTTTTTTTTTTTTTTTATTTTTTTAAATTTTAAAATAATTAAAATATTATAATGGTAACATAAAACACCG